TATGTTTTAAATGTAGTTAAATCTAAATTGGCAAAAAACAAAACAGCACATTCACTCTTGGATTCCTTTCTTATAACTAAGTAGCCATTCACTGTGTGTTCCATCTAGTGTTCAGTGAATATCTTGATTGACAAACCAGTTCGCCTTGGTCTATAGAAGTTCTAAAAAAAATTGTTGGTCTTCCACTGGGAATACCATTACTGGATTAGTAATGATAACAGTGGAAGAGTCATAAAGGCAGTGTGCCTGATAGTTCAAGACTGATGGAAAACTGAAATACAACTGTTTTCCCACTAGCTGGGAAAAAGTAGAAGAATAAATGGACATATCAACATAAGCAAGCCAAAATGGAGGATGGTTGCAAAACCCATCTTTTTAAAAAAAGGTTTGTGAAGTAAGAAAAAAAAATTATCTAAAGCCTTATCCTTTAAAAATGCCCTGTGAATGTCAGTTAACCTAGGGCCTGCAGAGTGATTTAGAAAACTCTGCACTGAAAAAAAAAATGATATGGATTTCTACTATAGACTTATTTGCTGAATTACCAAAAAGATCTTATGCTAAAAGGAGGGAGGGTTCATTGTTATGACAACCATAAAAATGTATCCCTAGTGACTTCACACATTGTGTATTCAAATGATATTCTTTATTGGTAATTGGATGGTCTACTATTATTTGAGCATTATTATTTAGTAAAATGCATCAAAAGAAAACTTTAAAATGTAAGTCTTTTTAATTCTATGATTAGAAATGCATACAATATAATACACACAGTAATTAACAAATGCCAACACCTGTTTTTGAATGGCACGTGTGGGAATCAGAATTTCTACCTGCACTTAGCCCTCTACTCAGAATCAGCCCCATTCTTCTGCAGTCATTTATTTATACTTTTCCCAAGATTGACAAAGTCTGTGAGGAGAAACAAATGGGATTGATGGTTAGTGAATGACTGTGTCTAGTATAGTGCCTTGTGCACAGGAGTTGTATCAATAAATGGTTTTACTGAGAGAAATAGAGTTACAAAAATTGATGCTTTTTAAAATTAGAGCATTGTAGTTATACATAATAGTTGGGGTCATTTTGACATAATCATACATTCATAGAATTTGATTTCAATCCTTATTCCCCACCCTTTCCCTCTCTTCCTCCCTTCCCATCTTTTCTTTCCTTTACTGATTTTCCTTTCACTTGTTTATTTAGTTTTGATCAGTACTTTCTACATATACATAAAGGTGAAATTCCCTGTGGTACATTTGTATATGCATATTACGTGATTTTGTTAAATTCATTCCATACCCCCCTCCCCCTTTATGGTCCTTCCCAACCTCTCAATCCTCCACTGCACACTGATCTTCCCTAAATATTTATAATATGTGGATCCCACTTCCAATGCTTTCTTTCCATTATTTTACACTAGTTTCCACATATAAGAATCAACATTCAATCCTTGACATTCTGAGTCTGGCTGATGTCATTTAGCTTGATGTTCTGTTTCCATCCATTTACAGGCAAATACCATGATTTTCTTCTTCTTTATGGCTAAGACTCCATTGTGTATGTATACCACATTTTCTTGATCTATTCATCTATAAATGGGCACCTGGGCTAATTCCATAATTTAGCTATTGTGAATTGTGCTGCTATAAATGTTGATGTGGCTCTATTGCTCTAGTATGCTGATTTTAGTTCTTTGGAATAAATACTAAGAACTGGGAGAGATGGGTCATACAGTGATTTGATTCCTAGTTTTTTGAGGAATCTTTATAATGCTTTCCAGAGTGGTGTCCTAATTTGTAGTCCCACCAACAATGTATCTGTGTTAACTGTTATGATTTAGATGTTGTGTCCCCCAAAGGCTTACATGGGAGCCAATACAAGAAGGTTTGGAGGAGAAATGATTGGCTTATAGCCTTAACCTAATCAGTGAATTGAGTGGTAACTGGAAGCAGGTGGGGTGTGGCTCGAAAAAGTGGTTCATTGGGGGTATGGCTATTTTGTATCTGGAGAGTAGAGTCTCTCTCTCTCTCTCTCTCTCTCTCTCTCTCTCTCTCTCTCTCTCTGCTTTCTGATATCATGTGAACTGCTTCCCTCTGCCACACTCTACCTCCACGGTATTCAGCCTCACCTTGATCCCTGAGGAATGGAGTCTGCTGTCTATGGATTGAGACCTCTGAAACCGTGAGCCTCTAAATAAACTTTTCTTCCTTTATAATTGTTCTGGTCAGGTCATTTAGTCGCAGCAGTGAAAAAGCAGACTAAAACAGTAACTCTCCCCTGATATTCTTACCAACATTTATTATTATTTGTGTTCTTGATAATTGCCATTCAGACTAGGGTAAGATGAAATTTTATTGTAGTTTTTATTTGCATTTCCTTGATTGCTAGAAAGTTGAACTTTTTTTTATATATCTGTTCATATATTTTCAAACAGTTGTGTTTCTTCTTTTGAAAAATGTCTGTTTAGTTCTTTTGCACATTTATTGATTGGATTATTATTATTATTGCTGGTTTTTGAGTTTTTTACATATTCTGGATTTTTTTTTTTTTTTGGTGTTAAGTATTTTTAGCTCTTTATATATCCTGGATATTAAACCCCTGTCAGCGGAGCAGCTGACAACGCTTTTCTCCTATCCTGTAATCTCACTCTCCACACCAAAAGCTCACGTGTGAGACAATGAAAGAAGGTTCAGAGGAGAAATGATTGAATTTTAATAGTCTTAACCCGGGCTGGGGATGTAACTCAATGGCAGAGCACTTGCCTAGCATGTGTGAGGCATGGGTTCAATCATTAGCACCACATAAAAATAAACAAATAAAATAAAGACATTCTGTCCGTCTACAACTACAAACAAACAAACAAACAAACAAAACCAGGAAGAGAGAGAGAGAGAGAGAGAGAGAGAGAGAGAGAGAGAGAGAAAGAGAGAGAATCTTAACCCAATCAGTGATTTAATCCCCTGATAGGGATTAACAGTGGTAACTGAAAGTGGTAGGGTGTGGCTGAAGGAGGTGGGAATTGGGGGCGTGATTTTGGGTATACATTTGTATCTGGCCAGTGGACTCTCTAAACTTCCTGATCACGATGTAAGATGTTTCTCTCTGTCACACTCTTCCACCATGATGTCCAGCCTTACCTCAAGCCCCATGGAATGGAGCCAGGCTTCTATGGATTAAAACCTCCAAAACCAAAACCATGAACCCTCAAATAAACTTTTCCTCCTCTGCAATTGTTCTGTTCCGGACCTTTTAGTTACAGCAGCAAAAAACCTGACTAAAACAATGCTCTTAACATTTCCTTGCTGTGCAGAGGATTTTCAATTTCTTGGCTTCCCACTTAGTGATTCTTTTTTTTTTTTTTTTTTAGTTTTAAATGGACACAATATCTTTATTTTACATTTATGTAGTGCTAAGCATCGAACTCAGTGCCTCAAACATGCTAGGTGAGCATTCTACCACTGAGTCACAACCCCAGCCCCAGGGTTTTATTTCTTAAGCTTTAGGGGTCCTGTTGAGAAAGTTAGTACCTGCATCTGTATGGTGGAGTATTGACCCTATGTTTTCTCCCAGCAGTTCCAAGGTTTCTATTTTAATTCCTAAATCCTTGATCCATTTGACTTTTGTGCAGCATGAGAGATTGGGATCTAATTTCATTCTTCTACATATGGATATCCAGTTTTCTCAGCACTATTTGTTAAAAGACTATCTTTTCTCCAACATATAGTTTTGGTAACTTTGTCAAGTATCAGATGGCTGTAAGGATGTGGTTTGTCTCTTTGTCTTCTATTCTATTTCACTGGTCTATTTTAATGCCAATACCATACTGTTTTTGTTACTATAGTTCTGTCGTTTTTGAGATCAGGTATTGTGATGCTTCCTGCATTGTTCTTCTTGCTCAGAATTGCTTTGGCTAGTCTGGATCTCTTATTCTTCCAAATGAATTTTAAAATTGTTATTTTCTAGTTGTGAAGAATGTCATTAGTATTTTGATGAGGATTGCATTGAATCTGTATGTTGCTTTTGAGAGTATGGCCATTTTGGCAATATTAATTCTGCCTATCTCAAGAACATGGAAGGTCTTTCCATCTTCTAAGTTCTTCAATTTCTTTTTTCAGTGTTCTATAATTTTTATTGTAGAGATCTTTCACCTCCTTGGTTAGATTAATCCCCAAATATTTTATTTTTTTTAGGTTATTGTGAATTGATGCTTTTAAAGAATGTATATATTCATAAGTTGGAGGACAGAAAGTATAGAAAACATTGTACAGTACTTGATCAGTTGACAGCAAGACTTTATTTTTTATTTTATTTATTTATTTTTATGTGGTGCTGAGGATTGAACCCAGGGCCTCGCATGTGCTAGGCGAGCGCTCTGCTGCTGAGCCACAACCCCAGCCCCCTAGACTTTATTTTTTAATTTAAAAAAAAAAAAATTTTTGTACTGGGAATTGAATCCAAGGGCACTTTACCATTGAGCTACATCTCCAGCCCTTTTTATTTTTTGTCTTGAGACAGGATCTTGCTAAGTGGCTGAGGGTCTTACTGAGTTGCTCAGGTTGGTGTTGAACTTGAGATCCTCCTGCATTAGCCTTTAAGTAGCTGAAATTATAGGCGTGAGCTCGTGTACCTAGCAACAAGACTGACTTTTTTTTTTTAATGATTTGAATTGCCAAGGTTTGAATGTTTGTGTCCCACACCTCCCTTTCATATTTGAAATCCTAATCCCCAATGTGATGATATTAGAAGGTGAGGTGTGGCTCAATGGTTAAGCATCCCTGAGTTTAATCCCTGATACCAAAAAAAAAAAAAAAAAAGCATTCTTAGAATACACATAATATTTAACTAGGCAATATGAATAAGTTTATGTCTGATGAGTAAATAATAATTTTCAATAAATTGGATATATGCATTGTCTACTAAATCAACTTTAAAATCAAATCAAAATTAATGACAGACACCTATTATAATGCCACATAGAAGTTTTTAATGCATGTATATTAATTTTTGGCAGAGATCAATGTTATATTAACTTGACTATTGTATTATGATTCAATTATGAAACAAGAGCCAGATGATTTTGATTACTTAACAGAGTGAAATTACAATTTCAAGTTGGAGACATTCACAGAAAGATATTCTTTGGCTACTAAATAATGGCTACATACTGATTACCATAAGAATTAACAATACTTTCCACTTATAACATTTATCAGTAACAACTCTGAATTGATTAGGTTAAAAACATGATGGTCATGTGGTGATTCCAAATAAATTATTATGCTTGCCGTAGGGGTGTGACTGTATTTGTGTTCAGGTGATACTGAACCCAAGTTGACTTTGAAAAGTAGTAAACTAGTTTATATTACATGCACTATGTTACCAGGGTACCTTAATGTAATGCTCTAATGTCAAATAAAGCCTGAAGACCTAGGCAGTTAGAGTAAGCAGAGGATTAGAATTTGCTGAGACTCTTTAGCCATGGAAAATGGGTTACCTCTTGAAAACTAGCTGGTTCCCTTTGTATGATATATACTCAAGCAAAGTCTCCATTTGCTTAAGTCCCTAACTTTTAGACCCAACTTTCTAAAATGATTTCTGGGAAATCTCCTGAGGGCACCTGGGGAGCTCCTAGTTATGGCCCTTCAGCAAACCTTTCACTGGTTCCAGCTGAACTACCTGTTCCCCATCTCAGTAACCACACTCATGTATTCTTACAGGGTTTCTTCCCAGCCAGCCCATTTCCACTTCCTTCCTTAACAACTTAAATCTCCTGGAGAAACTACACAGTAAGACTCTCCCTTTTCCAGTCCTGCCAGGCCTGACCCTTCTCTTAGGAATAAGAAAAAGGGGAAACAGGGAGAACCACTGCTGAGTGACATCAGAATGCAAATGGGTAATGGGATGAAAAACCAACAACCAAGATCAAGCCAGGTTTTGGCTGTAATGAGTTTTCAGCCTTATTAGAAATGCTCCAAAAAAATTGTAGAGTAAGACACCAGGTGATCTGAACAGGACCTGAAACAGCAAGAGCGGATGATGATGGTCTTAGCTTAGAACTCTACATTTCTTTTGCTTCTGAAAAATACAACTAGTAGGACATATTTCTAAGATCATAGTAAAAGGGTCCAGGGGCTTTATTCACATGGTTCATGTTTTCAACAAGAACAGAACTATGCTTGAATGTACTCTGGTTTATTTTCACCAGTTTAGCAGACCATCTCCCAGGAATCTGCTTTGATCAGAGTTTTTTTCTCCATCTGTAAGAAAAAAAAAAATCATGCAAAATAAACATACACATTCCTTTGTGTGTGCTTGTGTGTATGTGTGTGTGTGTGTGTGGTGCTGGGGATTGAACCCAGGGCCTTGTGCATTTGAGGCAAGCACTCTACCAACTAAGCTATATACACAGCCCACATTCCATGTTTTAAAAAGGAGGAAAGTAAATGAAGAGAACCTCAGCAAATAAACATTTAGTCCACTAATTTATATTAACTATTGGACTCTGCTATTGAAATTTTTTAAAAAATGGGTTTTGATTTGTTTGGTTTAAAAAATTTCCTCCTCAGCTTGGGATATATCTGAATATCTATGATGAATGAATCTATAACAAAGGAGGTTTGGTAGAAATCTGAAAGGGCCATATGTCAGGATATATACATATAATATACTTATACTGATAATTATGTTTCTTGTCTAAAATACCCACAATTATGACCATCCACTTGCATCAAATTATTCTCTCTTTATTTTCTCTCTATCTTACTTTGGAAGGATTATATAGCAGAACATTTTTCTCCTTTCCCTTCCCTCCCTTTGGTCCCTTTCCTCTCCTCTACTGATCTCCCTTGGATTTTCCTGAGCACCTCCCCCTCAACTGTCACACCTTTCATTTTCTTTTTCCTCTCTAACTTGCGCATATGAAAGAAAACGTAAGACCCTTGACTTTCTGAATCTGGCTTATTTCACTTAACATAATGTTCTCAAGTACATAGGAATGCATTTGTGAAAGTTCCTTTATTAGGTGATTCCTTCTGGGAAGGCAATGAGACAAAAAGCAGGAACACTTGTTAGCTGAATGAAACTTGCAAAACTTCAGAGCATGAGCCCCTCCATCAACCCCCACTGACCACCAACCTCATTCTTCACTCCTTCTTATTTCCTTGGCTTCTCACTGGGTCCTCATGCCAGCCTTTCTTTTCCAACATAATCCATGAGGTGTCATGGCATCATCAAAAGAGCTACAGAGTCAGTCACCAGTCATGAAAGAAAATCTCAGAATCACCTTTTACTTTCTGTATGACCTTAGGAAAGCAAATACAATTCTTAAAGGTCCAGTTTTCTGAGCTCTAAAGATTAACAATGCTGTTGGACACATCATAAGTGCTCCTGGATGGTTGCAATTTTTATTGCTTTTATTATTACTCTGTGTATCATAATCAGACTCATCTTCCTTTACCATGCCATTTCTCTGCTGAAGATCCATACATTGCATCATTCATTCTAAAATACAGAATGAGTTACCTTCTCTGATGGTGAGCTAGCAACTTGATCCTTCTGTGCCTCTATTTCATCACCTATAAAATGTGGGTTAAGAGTATGGCAGAACGCTTGCCTAGCATGTGTGAGGCACTGGGTTTGATCCTTAGCACTACATAAAAATAAACAAATAAAATAAAGGCATTCTCCACATACAACTACAAAATAAATGAATGAATAAATAAATAAACCTATTTAAAAACACAAAAGAGTATCCATGTCCTGGGGTTCTTGTGAGGATTAAGGTATACATTCATATCAAGTGCTTAGTATAGTGCCTGGCCCACTGTACTACAGCAAGGACTTGATTGTTATTAGCTATCATCATCATCATCATGATCAGTAGCAGCAGCAGTATTATAGTAGTTCTGTTATAACCACCGCTCCTGTGTTCTGCTGTGCCACTCCCTGTTGACCCCCTCTTTTCCCTACAAAAGCTACTCTCATTCCTGCTTTGGCTTAATCTCTTCTCTCCTCTGTCTGCCACAGTGTGTGGCACCTACAAGGCATAAATGTATATTTTCTGAATAAGAATTATAGTCTTCTCTATGTCCCAGTTAGCCCTGGCATTTTGGGTCAAAAAGACTTCTTTGTCCCACTCTCTTTGATGTGCTGCTCACAGGCACTGTTTCACAACAAAGGCAAAACTTCAGCCTAAAAAGTACCTTCTGCTGTCTTCCCTCCTCCCACATGGATCAGTTCAATCCTAAACACAGCACGTGTTTGTTCCAGTAGCATAAATGTCAGGGAACCACGGCTGTAGTATGTGCTTTGACCACCAGATCACTTGCCATATATTTTTAGACCTTTTACATTTTAAATTATGTCATAAATATGATATCATTATAATTTTTTTTTTGTATTGGGGAGTGAGTCCAGGGGCACTCAACCACTGAGCAACATCTCCAGCCCCTTTTGTATTTTATTTAGAGATAGGTTTCACTGAGTTGCTTAGGGCCTCGCTAAATTGCTGAGACTGGCTTTGAACTCACGATCCTCCCGCCTCAGCCTCCTGAGCCACTGGGATTACAGGCATTCGCCATCATACCTGGCTCATTTTAATTTTTGAGAGAGAAAATTCTAGGTCTATTTATTATGCTTTGATGTCTTTTATTCTTAATAGTAATAAGAATTACATACCTTGTTTATTAGGCCCTTGTTGAGACCCTGAACATGGATATCATGACACTAAGACTCAGGACCACCCAGGTAGAAAAGCAGTAGAGCCAGGATTTAAACCAGGTTGGTTAGCCTCCAAAGACCCAGCTGATCCATTACCAAGATGCCTAATTTAATTAGTAGTTTTATTGCCACATGGACAAAATGGTTCAACTTGAAGATTTTGCCCAGTCCTGGTATGGAAGAGCCTATACAGTGTAGTGAAAATCAGACAGGCTTAGAATCAGAACTGGTCCTTATCTATTTGGGTGAACTATATGAAACTTCTACAAGTAAAAATGAAAATGGTTGACTTTCAGCAATATTATTTGGTTTAACTTTTAATAAGGAACAACTGGATTTATGATTATTTAATCTTTTTTGGTTTCAATGTTTTCAATTACCATCAGCTTTGAGTTCTAAGAAAAAATAGGCAGTGGATTGTGAAATTCATATAAAGTTCATCAGTCTCATCAGGAAATGTTTTTTATATTCTCAAGCCTCACTTTAATGACAAATATATTGGTCTTTATAGAATAAACATCTTTGTGACTTTTTGGAGTGAGAAGAGTATACTCAAGACAGAATCCTGCTCTGTTCTGCAGTAAAAAGAGATTACTATACTTGTACCTTCTTGTGGTTTCTGCAACAAAGCCAGTAATAGAGCTGCTGCTTCTGGAAGAGTTAGTAGTTGGGGATTTGGGCTTCGTCTTTCTACAGAAAAAAAAATTATAAAGATTCTATTAGAATTTAAATATTCATATAAATAAATACTATTATAGTATGCTACAATAGTAGAAATACCTCTATGAAATAGTTTTTTTTTTATCCCTAAGCAAAGAATACATAGGACACTGATGTGTGTGTGTGTGTGTGTGTGTATGTGCGTGTACATCAAACCCAGGGCCTCACTCAATTTAAACACGAGCTCGACCACTGAGCTATATCCCCAGTCCCAGAACACTAATTTTTATAAATGGAAATATTTCATACTTCCCTTAGAAATGACTTCCCAGTGATTATATCTTTTACTTACAGGCTAGGGAAGAATATTTTGAACTATGTTCTTAAGAGAATGGCATGAAAGTACAGAGGACTAAGAGAAAGAGCCTATGAGAAATTTCCATCTTCATAACTTATAGAGATGTCTGGGCAGAAAGATGTTTGTTTTGTTGTGGTAGTTGTAACTGTACCCAAGGGCATTGACCACTGAGTTACATCCTCAGCCCCCTTTAAAAACTCTTCTTATTATTTGAGACCTAGTCCCATTAACTTGCTGAAGCTGGCCTTGAATTTAGGATTCTCAGCCTCCCAGGATGCTGGGATTACAGGTTTGTGACACTGTGCCCAAATGAGCAGAAAGGTTTAGATATTTTTTCAGAATAAGTATATATTTTTATTCTTTAGCATTTCAATATTTATAATTTTTTAAAAATATTAATTGTGTTATAATCTCTAATTCAGTGACATGGAAAGGTGTATCATGAAAAACAACAGTGCCTGGGTCCATTCTAATGTCCCCCACTTACCTAATTTTGGTTTGAACCTTTTAATAATAGCTCTTTTACTGATATAATAAAGATACATTTGAGACTCCTAGGTTAATGATTATTTTAATAATAATAGCAACAATAATGTTTAAGAGGAAACTGAGCAAAACTCCTGCCATTAATGCATAGGTACATTTCTAGAAGCAGTTGCACTCCCTACCCCTCTGAGCTGGACCCCAGATTTTGCCTGTCCGCCCTTGCCTCGCTTCCTGAGGACCTCTGCAAACCCTGGCAGCCAGAAGACTGCGACCCAGTCAAGCCTCGGTTGCTGCCGCGCCCGCTTCCTCCACAGGAGCCCTGGTCCCGAGGGGCAGAGCGTCACACCCCCAGCTCCAGCGTTGAGAGTCCTGCAGCTGCTTGAGCTGGATTCAGGCCAACTGTATCTCAGGGCAGTTGGAGAGCTGCGTCTTTCCGGATCGGGGAGAAGCTTTCCTTCCGCGCAGGGCTGAGCGAGCCCTGCTCGACCTCTCCAGCTTCAAGACCGGACATCAGCCCTTGCTGTCTAGGTCACTCACCTGGAGGCAGCCTGTCAGAGAGGTCCTTCCTACGGCTCTGGTCAGAAATGAAGCGGCGCCCCTCTGCAAAGCAAGACACCGGGGGTCAGCCCCGGTGGCCTGGGGCAATTGCGGGTTAAACCACCGCAGCGAGATGGGGCAGCAGCGGCAGCGGGTGGCTCCAGGTCAGAGCTGTGCCTGGCTGAAGGGTTTAGGGCGCACAGAAGACAGCCCGGCCCGAGGCCAGTGCTGCGGAAACCTGCAGAAAAGTCCCAACTTCCCGCCCCCCCCCCCCGCCTCCACAGCCAGACGCTGCAGGGGCGCTTTGGAGCTCTCTTCCCTAGGAAGCTTCAGGGTTGTATCTGCACCAAGAAATGGCAACCTTCAGGTTTAGAATGGAAGGTTTCTAATTATCAGGGAGTCTTGCTCTCATTGTCCTCCTTCTCCTATCTTTTCCTGGATTACCAGATGGCCTCACTTTGGTAAAGAAGCAAAGTTTGATATTATTCTGTCTTCAGGCTTTCCAACTATCTGTTCATGGATTCATGCACCCTGAGAGTTTTCCATTATCATTGTAGGACGAACAAAGTATTTGGGAACTTACGTGCCCCCTTCAGGTAGAGCATAGCTTGAGGAGTCCAGTTTCTTCTATTAAAGAATTTCTATAAGCAGGAGAAGAGAAGAAAGGTTAATAAATGATCACAGCTCAGTCCTCCAAGGGGGGTGGAGGAGAGGGAGAAGAAGAAGAAGTAAAGAAAGGGGAAGAAAAGAAGAAAAGAGAGAGTGGGCACAGCATGCATGCAATGGATTTGTTCTTTGTATCTAGTTACCTGAGGAGCGCTGTTTCCCAGGACAGAAAACATCAGGAGAAGAGCCAGGGTTGCTGCTGTCAGACTTTTGGCTCCCTGCATGACATGATGAACCAAAGAGGGTCATTCCCCTGCCCATTGGATTTTCTGCTTTCTTCCTCTATGCGTGGACGATTACAAATCCCTTACTTCTGGCTATGTTCTATTTTAATACTCTGTATGTGGAGGTATTCTCCCAGTCTCCCTTTTTATTAACCCACAGAGTTCACTTAGAAAAATTATTTAGAAATATATTATTTTCATTACCTCACCCAAATGAGGAATTGGGTGAATAAGTGATTTTTTTCCTCAGTAAAATCAAACAATTCTATTTTATAAAAGTTCAATATCATTTAGCCTCTAAAATGCTCACTAAAAATAGATGAAAAGTTATAAAGCTTTTTATAAAATAACTAAAATGTCTCGAGTAAATAAAACTTTTACTTACCTTCATATTCAGCTTCTTTCAGAACCCTGAAATAACTATGACTTTACCTGTGAGTTTTCTAATCTAATCCTGTTTTGAATTTAGAGCTTTTAAAGTCTTACTGTCAAAGACACCTCCCCATCTACACAGTGTTGGGGAATCCACAGGGACAACTTGTCAGTCATCAAGATTGAAAGGATCTGATGACTTCTCCAGGGAGATTCAATTGCAGGAAGTAGAGGAATGATTGATGGATGGAAATCGTTTGTTTAGATATTGATCACATCAGCCAGGAGACATTCTGAATGTGTCAGCATCTTTGCCATTGCTTTTCCTGTTAGCTGCCCAAAGCACTTTTATCAACGTCATCTATATTATTAATGAAAATAATCAATAGTCCAAGGTGGAAGCAAAAGTAAATGAATAAAGTGACCAGCTATCAATTTATCATTGTTGGCTGAAGATGAATAACTTGGGTAGAAATAAAAAGGCTAGGGAATCTTAATGGAATTTGACATCAGTCATTTACTTAATTATCTATTGATTCAATTATTTAACAAATACATATTGAATGCCTACTATATATCAGACTATCCTCCTTTTAGTTCAAGTGGAATAGATGTGGACTAAAAAAGACATGCTTTGATCAAGCTTACTTTCTAGTGAGGGGTCTTCAGGTCATTAGGGCATACCTTTGAAGTAGAAAGTAGACCCCAGCCTCTTCTTCTTTTCATTTGCTTCCTCACCATCAGGTGAATAGGTTTGTTTCACCATGAGCTCCTGCCTTGATGTGCTCTTATAGGCCTAAATATGATGGATCCACTGGATCATGGACTGGAACCTCCAAAATAGTGAGCCCAAATAAAACTTTTCATAGGTTGATTTTCTGATGTTGTTGTTGTTGTTTTTAATAGTAATAGAAAGTTAGCAAATATTACTGGGAAGCTTTTAAATAGAAATTCCTTACATGGTTCTGAAGGCTGAGAATCCAATCAAGATATGGGCATGGTTGAGTTCTGGCGAGAACTTTTTGATGACCTCTCTGCTGAGTCCTTCCATGGAGAAAGAGACAAACAAGTTCCCCAGGGCTGTTTTATGAGGGTACTAGTCCCTATCATTTGGGCTCTACCCTCATGATTTATCACCTCCCAATGCACTCCTACATACTATTCACATTGGGGATTAGGATTTCAACATATGCATTTTAGGGGTATACAAACATTCAGATCAGAGTAGTCCCTGCTAAGTAAGGGCAGTGCTGCTCAGGCATAGTGCACCAGACTTAACTAGAATCTTATTAAAATGCAGATTCTGATTCAGAACAGTTCAGTGGGGCCTGCAATTCTAATAAACTGCAGGTGATTCTGATAGATGCTTCTGAACCTTGGATATTTTTAGTAGCAAAGCTTAGAGGGATATAGGAAATGAGGAAAACTAAAGGGCAGAGTCTGTGTGACTGGGAGAATGGTTAGAAATACAAATTTATGGAATCTGAGAATAGGAACAGACAAGTTTCATTTGGGATTGAAATATGAAGAGCTAATGCTGTCTATTTGCAAATACTCGGAAAAGGCGGATTGGAATTTGGGCACTTGATATTTTGACTTGACAGTCACATAAAAACAGGTTTGGCTAGTAAATGAAAATGGAATATAGGAGGTAGTTTGTAGGTAGAAATTTGAGAACTATTTATTCCTTGCAAGGAATAAGTAAAGCAAGCAAGAGCCAGAGCCATTAATACAGAGTTTATTTCTGCTATCTTTGAAGAGAAAGATAAAAACTAAGGACAATAATGTTAGTACTGAAACTGGATAAAATTGTAATAAATATTAGATTTTAGAATTTTCGTTTCAAAGGATTATAGCAACTATCTCCAAAAAACAGAGCCACAAAAGATTTAAAATATGCATATTTCTGTTTTAAATTTAATAATAACTGAAACCCAGTGACTAGGTTATCTAACAAGTTAAATGCATTTCTTCTCTTTCCATACCCCAAATACAAAGGTTTTAGAAGTGAGAGAGGAAAGTGAGTCAATAAGAAAACGTGTTTTGAACTTCCAATTTTAAGGAAAAATCATGTGCTTTGTTCATAATAGTTTAGCAAATTAATTCACAAGTAGATGTTCTATGTCAAAGCTGCCATTTTCAGTTTCATATGCACAAATGAAGAGAATGGTTTTGACATGTTATCAATATTGTTGTCATACCACAAGCCACATGCCAGAATGTTTCTTCTAAAAGGATTTCCAAAGGGCATTGACCTCCAGTAAAATGTTTTTGTTAAATCACAACATTTTAAAGATTTACAGGTTTAAGCCAAGAGATAGGCTAAGTCGTTTGGTAGAAAACAGATGACAGGCATGACTATTGAATTTTATTCTGCCAACAGTATGACCAGACAGTGGATGTTGAACAAATAGACTTTTAAACATTTTTTAAAGGCTTTTAAAAGGCATATTCAATGGAGACGATTTTGCCTTCCTCACTGGATTCTTACAATTTGCTGAGGGGGCCCAGTTCCTATTTAAACAATAATCACCTGTCACTGTTCTGAAGACATTCTTTCAAGTCAGTGTTTATTATGTTCATGTACAAAACAGCTGCTATCTTGGAAAAAGTTCACGGACAATCTAGCTATTGTCGTACCAGAATGTTCAAATTACTTTTTCTTCTTCTACATTTTTTTTTTTGGGTGGGGGATAGAATCCAGGGCCTCTGAGTTACATCCCCAACTCTCCAAATTACTTTTTGAATGACAGAATAAATTTTGGTTGGCATTATATGAATTAGGATATGGATTCCATCTTCTATTTTGGCTTCATTCTCTGCCAGGGCCTGTCTGTTCCTTAAGTCAGTTGTCTTAACTGACAGGTAGAAGAAATCATTTCCCCAAGGGCTACCAATTTTACGAGGGGCTTTAGGGGCAATAATGTCGGCTATTCAAAATAAAAGGCTTGCTATCCAAAATAAAACTTCCTATTTATCGATCAGTGTCTTTACCCAACCTTCCTTTAGTTAAGGTTTTGATTCCCAAATGAACTAACACCTTGGGATAGATAATCCAATTGTTTTCTGGTTACAAATCCTTCCAGATGCTTTCTCCAGCACTATACATAGGGGAAGGGAGGAGAGAATTTGAAGATACTAGTTTTTTGAGAGTCAATAGAACCTAGGGATTTGGGGGTAGATAAAGAAAAGTGCTAAAATTTACCTGTTTTTCACTAGTAGATTTTAACACTCTTTTAAAATGACTGAGCACAGTATGTGAATTAATGTACAGTCACCATTACTCTAAGATAACCAATAGTACATAGTTGCTAATGATTGTATAGTATATGTCATGTAAAAGCAGCACAAAGATATAGCAAAAAGGCTGTGGATCAAGATGCAAGCATCAAAATACTACTACTGATAGTTCTTTGTAAACACTGAGCTTCAGAAACATACAGGAGACAATATTTATGTAATATGGATTAGGTTGAGCATTAGTCATAACCCGGTATGACCATCAAATAGGAAGGTGGGGCAGGCAGTGTTCCCAGTGGTCTTCATTTAGGTCCTTGGGCTGCAAATACTCTCAGGACATTAACACCTAATATTTTCATAACACTTTGACAAAGCTCTATTACGTCCATTTTTTAAAAACTCCATTAAAATTGTTTACTAGATACTGAGTCTCACTTATGAGCAGACTTAGAATTTGAATCATCAGGATGTTAAGTGGTCGTTAGTGTCAAATCCAGTGCTTATGCTGCTTCAGAACTCCCAGCTACCTCATAAGATCACAAACATCAGACCAGAAAGCTCTTTTTCAAGGATCCAATTACCCATCATTATTAGCACTGTTTTATACATGTGAGAAATTGCCATACCAGTAACTCTTTTTATTGGGGGGGGGGTAGCAGGCATTGAACTCAGGGGCACTTGACCACTGAGCCACACCCCCAGCCCTAATTTGTATTTTATTTACAGACAGGGTCTCACTGAGTTGCTTAGCGCCTTGCCATTGCTGAGGCTGGCTTTGAACTCATAATTTTCCTCCCTTCCAAGCCACTGGGAGTAGAGGCGTGTGCCACTGTGCCCAGCTCAAGTGACCCTTCTTCTTCTTTTTTTTAAAAATATTTTTATTATTTGTTGATGAATTTTTAAAAAAAATTTATTTGTATGTGGTGCTGAGAATCGAACCCAGTATGTCACACATGCTAGACAAGCACTCTACCACTGAGCCACAACCCCAGCCCCCTCAAGTGACCCTTCTTGATGTGGGATATTTTTTCTCTTTCTTTGCTTGGGGAATAGATTCACTTCATAATTTTCTCCTTGGGATTGTTCTACTTCGTAATAAGAATTCCCACTACAAAGACACCATCTTGAAAGAGAACAAGAATCTCTTTTATTTCATACTGAAACAAAGGCAAAGAAACTGAGAACCAGCAATTCACACCAGCCTCAAAATTGTAGCAGTTTCTGGGTATCTCCAGAAGACCCCCTTTACTAGAGAAGAAAGGTGCCAATCTGTAGGCATAGTCTTTATGATTCCTTCTCTCTATGGACAAGCTGCTTGGTTACATCATGTATTTTTCAAGTTATAAGAAATGTGCAGCTGAACCATAGACTTCTGCAGGGTCAGATCA